CATTTGCTTGGCATATTTTTTCCCACCCGTTTATTTTTAGTCTTTCTTTATCTTCATTTTTTCAGGTGCGCCTCTTGTAGACAGCATATTGATGGATTTTGGGATTTTTTTCTAATCTGCTACTGTTTTTGTCTTCAGTGGTGAATTCAAACCATTCACATTCAGTGTGATTATTGAGACACAGGGTTTTATTGCTATCATTTTGTTGAGTTCTTTTTGGTGTTGTTTGTAGTTACTTTGGTCCATCCTGCTTTCTGTGGCACTTCTATAAGAAGGACCTCTCTCAGTGTTTCCTTCAATGCTGGTCTTATTTTATTTTATTTTTTTCAGGGACAAGTAGGATCTCTGATCTTTATTACAAGGTATCAGCAGCAGTGATGGAGATGGTGACAAAGGTGGGGTAGAAATGCTCATTTGTTCCTCAGGTAGATCTTGGGGGTCTGCCAACCTTCAGGAGCTTCCTTTAGGCCAGCCTTCAGGCAAATACACCGTAGATCTCTCTCGAATTTTATCTGCTTCCATTTCAGGCCACCTTCGCTGATCTTCCGCCGCAGGAAGCGAGTCCTCTTGACCAGCTTTCTGTACTTGTGGTGGTTCATCTTCCGACGGCGGATCTTTAGCACATTTTTACACTGTATCTGGGGCACATCTGAGACCTCATTACTCCCCTGCTCAGTCCCCTCCCCTAAGTGGCCAGGTGGACACTTATAGAGCTGGGCAGGAGGCACTGTTCCTGGAGCCTCAGCACCAAGAGTGGGGAGGAGGCAGCGAGCAGTTAGTCAGCTTTCCAGGGGGCTGATGGACATCTTCCGGGGAACCATCACCTCGTCCAGGTCCAGCTGGGTCCCCCTGCCAGGTAGCAAGATAGCCCCACTTGGGCTCACTGGTTGAATGCTGTAGTGGAGCCTGCAGGCACCGGTACCAGGTATCCTTGAGACAGGCAAGGGCAGACCTCGGCCTGCCTGTGAAGCAGCCCTGACCAGCTGAGAAGTCAGACACCCCAAGAACATTGTCTGTGGGTGGTGATGGCTCCAGGTACTCAGAAAAGATTTGGCTGGTGTGCACAGGTACGACTCCTGGTCTTATTTTTACAAACACACATAGGTTCTGTTTTTCTGAAAACATCTTGATCTCACCTTCATATTTTATGGACAATTTTTCTGGGTGCAATATTCTTGGTTGACAATTGTGTTCTTTGAGTTTTTAATATATATCATTCCACTATCTTCTTGCTCATACTGTTTCTGCTGAGCAATGGGCACTTAATCCTATCTGCTTTCCCTTATAGGTTACTCTTTTTTCTCCCTCACAACTTTCAGAATTCTCTCCTTATCTTTAGTTCTGTCAAATTTGACTATGATAAGCCTTGATGTTTTTCTTTAGGGGTCCATTCTATATGGTGTTTACTCAGCTTCTTGAATATATATTCTCTCATTCTTCATTATGTTTGTGAAACTTTCTTCTAGTAATTCTTCCACAACTTTTTTGGTGCCTTTACTTACTTCCTCCTCTTCTGGGATTCTGATGTTGTGCATATTACTTCTTTTGATGATGTTCCACATTATTCTTAGGTTTTCTTATTTTTCCTTCTTTTTTGATTTGCCTTTTGCTCTAACAGATCAATGGTGAAAATTCTATCTTCTAATTCACTGGTTCTGTGTTCCATCTCTTGAACTCTGTTCATGTGTCTCTCCATCATTTGACAGCATCTGAAACCTTAGACCTCATATTTTGGATCATGGTTTGTTTGGTTTTCTTCCAGTGCCTCTAATGCCTCATTTGTTTTATCTCTGTCATTTTTTATTATTTTTAAGCTTCTTCTGGGTTTTGCTTGTAGTGTCCTGTAATTCTTCAAGTTTGTTATTCACGCATTAAAAATATTCAATCATTGTTCTTTTGAATTCTGTGGCAGAAAGTCCCATCAGACTTTCTGGCTTCAGGAGATCCATTGTTACTGTGTCACTTTGGGTGTGGGGGGTGGTGATATCTTGCTTTGGGCTTGTGTGGGGAATGTGGTAGTCTGCTTCTTTTGGGACATTGCTGTGGTAGAGTTTTTTGTGCCGGAGACAACAGCTGGTTCTTGATCTGAATGTCACTACTCCAGAAGAAGCTTGAGCAGGCACACAAGCGGATCCACATAGGGTGGCTGAATGCACAGACACACACTTGGGCAGGGGGTAGTGGGGAGAGAAGATACCCACACAGATGCACACGGAAGGGGGATGCAAGGGAAACCAGAATGGAAAACCAGGAAGCCTTGGCTTTCCAGTCGAGCTTAAGGTGATGAGGTCTCACAGTGGTCCAGCAATCAGGTGTGACCCCCTTTAAGTACCTCACTCAATTTCCCACTGTCCTGCTTGATCCTGGTGGGTAGGTCCTGCTGTGGCTCGCTGCTCCCCATCATGGTTTGCTGCACCCCACAGAGGCTTGCTGTACCCTGCTGACACTTGCTGCACCGCACCAATGCTTGCAGCTCTCACAGCTCTCAAACATCTATATTGATCCCCAGCAAAATTTTGAGAAGCACCTATATACTTGTGCTCATTTTTTGGCCTGAGGCCTTGCAGGCTTTGGGCCAGACAGCATTTTATTCCCCAGAGTACCTGGGTAATCACAGAGGAAGCATGTTGTTCACTTCTGGAAGTGGCTTTTCACCTCCATTGAGGGGCCCAGTACCTCCCTGTTGTTAAGGGGTTCTACCTGGTCAGGCCAGACAGCAGTTTATTCCCCAAAGTACCTGCTTGCTCCTGGCAGGTGGGTCTCACAGGCAGCTTCTGGCTGGGTCTCAGCTGGCGGCTTCTGCTGGGGCCTGCAGCTCATTGCTCCTAAGCTAAGGGGTCCCACGTGGCCAAGCTAGACAGCATCCCCCTCCAAATAACTGTGGAAGCAATGAAGGTAATGCCGACCCATGCTTCCTGTGGTCCCACACTTCTTACGGTCCCACGATTCCTGTGGTCCTCCATTTTTCAACTTTTTTCCTTCCAGGTCTTTTAGTGTGTCTTGCAGAAATGCTCTGAATGTCGGGCGTGGTAGCGCGCACCTGTAGTCCTAGCTACTCGGGAGGCTGAGGCTGGAGGATCGCTTGAGTCCAGGAGTTCTGGGCTGTAGTGCGCCATGCCGATCAGGTGTCTGCACTAAGTTTGGCATCAATATGGTGACCTCCTGGGAGCGGGGGACCACCAGTTTCCTAAGGAGGGGTGAACCGGCCCAGGTCTGAAATGGAGCAGGTCAAAACTCCCGTGCTGATCAGAAATGCTCTGACGTTTTCTTTGTATAGGCTTTTGTATCTTCAGTTAGGTTCACTTCCAAGTATATCAATTTGTGGTTGGCTATTGTAAGTGGTATTGCTTTTTTAAATTTCCTTCTCTGAGTTCTTTCTGTTACTTAGAGGCAAGGATGATCATATCATGCTTTGGGCATGTTATTAAGATAGGTCAATCCTTCAAGAAAGATAGCTTCCTAGTTAAAATAAAAGGATGGCTAAAAAAGAGGAAGACTTGCAACAAGATGTATTAACATAGTAGTTATAACAATGTGTTTAAGACCAGCAAAGATTGTTAGGATCACTCAGGATCCTGCAGGGTTTCATTCTGTTGTGCACTGTGCCGCAATGAGCTGGAGCTGACTTAATATAATCAATAACAATAGCAAGGCACACCCCTGAGACCCAGCTCCATAGTTCTATTTGCTTCCCAATCATCCCCATCTGGATGAACTCAGGTTATGTACAAATTTGGAACCCTTGATCTATATCCCCTTCCCAAATAACTTCTTTTACCAGGAACCTAAACTAGAAAACAAACAAACAAAACAAAAAAATCCATATTCCATGGGACAATGAGGATTGGAAATTTTCCTTCATTTTTTATTTTTGATTAAGCACCAAGTACCACAGTACTCATGAAATTTGCCTTCAAATTTGTATCATATTACCAATTTCTTTGTCCTAGTAAGTCTTTCTTCTTAAAAACAATACTTTTAACAAACTCCTAAAAGACTTCTAGTCAAGAGAAAATAAGAACTAAATTTACCCTCCTTCCTGAAACAACTAAAAGTGAATAAATATATGAAACAATATGTGACAAAAATGTGGGCACCAGGCACAAAAGACAGTGATACCTAATAAATAGGAAAATAAATGATGTAAGCCTTGATCGGCCTAGCTTCAGCCTCAGAGAATGTTTACAGAGAGAGGAAATGTAGGTGACCCTGACAGTTTCTCTGAATTAATGATACAAGACTGTGAGTGAGAAGGTGACAACACAACTAGAATTCACAAAGATTATCAGAAAGGAAACAGCCGATGCTCTGGAAATCTTCAGACTGTGAGGAGAATACCGTTTTCATGGCTAAAAATAAACTAAGTAAATATACTAAAAGGAAACAATATCTTAATCTTATACAGAGTTGAAAAAAAAAATTACCTATTCCTGAAGAAACAGTGAAAAACCTCCTAACTCATAAGCACCAATTGTTTCTGTTTTTGTTGTTAATTGTCCATCAAGGAAACGCATACTTACATACTGGCTCATACTTACAACAAATTGAACTCTTCTTTGATCCTGGAACATGTCACAATCTCTAGTGAGAATGTCTAGTGTGCTTTAAGCCTATTGGTGCAATCACAATGTCAATCCATCTTGTTGAAGGTCACCCTTTCCTCTGGCCTCCACATTTCCAAGCATAATGTTCCCTTCCAAAGACTATCCCCTCCTGATAACACACCTAAAGAATGTGAGATGAAGTCTCACTATCCTTGCTTCTAAGGTAACACTTTGGCTGCACTTCCCCAAGATAAACTTGTTTTGTTCTTTTGGTAGTTTATAGTACAGTAAATACTTGTTTCCAACATAATAATTCAAAAGAATAATCAATTCTTCCTTATTCACTGTCCAAATTTTACATGGGATGAAGGAACCAAAAATACCATGACTTGAGTCAAGTACACCTTGAAATTGCTGACTACCAATCAGGATTATATTTGGAGAAAATTCATCAACATGAACAGAACAAGTCCACCCAGTCTCTTTGATCTTGCAAAGATGAACCTTCTACAGAATGAGATGTTGACTATCGAGGCTCTGCAGTCTCTGCCCAGGGAAATCTTCCTACCTCTGTTCATCTCTGCAGTTGAAAAGGAACAGAGTCACATAGTGAGAGAAATGGTGCAGGCCTGGCCCTTGTACTACCTCCCTCTGGGACCTCTGAAAAACTTGATCACCCTAACCAAGACATATTAAAGTCTGCACTGGATGGGTTAGATGGCCTGCTTGCCAAAAACATTCGAACTAGGAGATGGAAACTGAAAGTACTGGATTTGCGGAAGGACAACCATACTAATTTTTAGGATGTGTGGTCTGAAACCAAGACCCCCACCCTCTTGCAGTCTTTAGAGGAGTCGGAGACTTTCCATTCCAGATCCAACAAGTGGAATGTGGGTGATTCAAGGATCAGGAAGAGGAAGAAGCAGCCCTTGGCCCCTGTGGTGGTGATCACAAACCTGTGCCTCATGGAAGACTTCCCTGACAAAATCTTCACCTTCCTCAGAAACAGAGTGAAGCAGAAAAAATGTCTGCCACATCTTTGTTGTGAGAAACTGAATATTGCTCAAATGTCATTAGAAAGTATTAAGGAGATCCTGAAAACGGTACAGCTGGATTATGTCCAGGAGGTTGGAGTTAATTGCACCTGGGAATTGCCCATGCTGGCCAGATTTGCTTCTTTCCTTGGTCAAATGGTTAATTTGAGCAAGTTTCATCTATCTCACAACCGAATGATTTCCTGCATTTCTCAGGAGGCAAGGGGCATACTAATTGCCACAATTACCTCTCAGTTTGTCAAACTGAATCAACTCCAAGAGCTCCACCTGAAGTCTGTCCTCTTCTTGGAAGGATTCCTGCACCAGTTACTCAGGAGCTTGAAGACTCCCTTGAAGACCCTTTGGATCATTAATTGTGCTCTTTCAATATCTGACCTGACATATTTCTCCTTGTGTCCAAGCACCAACTACTTAAGGAAGTTATGCTTGAACGACGTCAAACTGACTGACTTACATCCTGAGTGCCTTCAAGTCCTATTGGAGAGAGTCTCAGGCACAATCCAGCATCTAGATCTAGATAACTGTGGGGTCACAGACTCTCAGGTCACTGCCATCCTGCCTGCCCTGGGCCACTGTTCCCAACTCAAGACCTTGTGCTTCTGTGGAAACCTAGTCTCCATGACTGTCTTGGAAAACCTTCTACGACACACTGTTCCACTGGACAACTTCACATGTGGGCTGTTCCCAATTCCTCTGGAGTGTTATTTGGAAACTACAAGTCCTCATAACTTTAGAAATATTCAAAGATATATTGAGAACCTAAGACTTATACTACTGGAGTTGGGGAGGCCAAGAACAATTTTATTCAGTTCTACCTGTTTAGACTGTGGTGTCACAGAATATTTTGATCCATAGCCCAATCGGCTGCTATTGTTGCCTTACCTTGTTGGGGTGCACACATCCAAGCTCTACTCTGGATACATCAGAAATGGAACCTGGTATAAGAGACAGGATCATTTCTGAAGTCTGTTCAAATGAAAGAGGATGTGGCCCAGCAGGGCCAGGACCAGGAATGGAAAGGTGTCAACTTGAGTTCACAGGACCTTGGAGAGAATAACTTTAGATTCAAGTCTGGGTATCAGTATTTCTTAGAGGTGAGATGGGAAGTATGTATATTTAGGCTTGAAAAGAAACATGTAGGGAGCTCTGGTGGCCTGGTGGCAAGAAGATACACTGCAATCCCAGAGGCATGCATTTCGAATCCACCAGATGCTCAGCTGGAGAAGGAGGGACAATCTCCTCCTGTACCAGTCAGATCCGATTTGATGGTATACACACAAAAAAATAATAATGTTAAAGATGTTAAAAACCTATGTAAATTGCCCCTGCAAGGAATGTTCTAAAGAAATAGCCGAAATAAAAAGAAATTTGATGGAAAAAAAATAGAGATCTTTGCTCCTTAGCACTTTAAAGAGGTCCTTGATTTACCTAATGCAGCATATTTTAATTTCTTGTCTGCTGCTTCCATGAGTCTTGATTCCAAGGAAAGTTAAATCATTGACAACTTTTTTTCTCCAGTTATAATGATTACACACCTATTGGTCCAATTTTCTTAACACTAAAGGCTGTCATCTTGAATGTTCTTCAATAAGTCTTTCAAGTCCTCATCACCTTCTACAAGCAAGCTTGTGTCATCTACATAATTAAAGTAATGGATGAATGTTCCTCCAATCCTGATGCCACATTCTTCTTCATATAGTCTGTATTCTCAGATTATTTTCTCAGTATATAGATGAAATAGATATGTGAAAAATACAACTCTGATGCGTAATTTTCTGATTTAAACTATGATGTATCTCCTTATTCTGTTCAAAAGACTGCTTATTGGTTGACATGCAGATTTCCCCATGAGCACAACTGAGTGTTGTGGAATTCCCATAATTCTCAATGTTATCTATAATTTGTACAATCCACACAGTCAAATGTCTTTGCATAATCATTAAAATACTTAGTAAGCCTTTTTTTTTCCTTTCTTTCTTTTTTTTTTTTTGCGCTATTCTCCACTTCCAGTCAAGATTCATCTGATATCAACAAAGATATCTTTCATTAGAAGATCTCTTCTGAATCCATCTTGAACTTCCGGCACTTCCCTATCAATGTTATTGGTTTTGTAGAAAAATTAGTCCTAGACTAAACATAGCTTTGGTCCTCCTTAAGGACATTTTAAAATAAGATCTAAAGTGTTCACTGTTTTCAAGTGATAAAACACAAATTAGAATAATGTCCAATAATATTACCATAAATAGACAATATTTAACACCCAACAAAATAAAGTCACAATGTCTCTCATTCATCAAAAAAATAATAAGGCAGGGAAAGATGGTATATAATGACTAGAAAAAGCAATCCTTTCTAAATCATTCCTGAATTCTCACAGAAAACAGATCTAGTAGGATATTTAAAGTTATTATGGTAGTATTCCATGTGCTGTAGAAGCTACAGAAAAGATTAATATATTAAGTAGATATATGGAATACATAAATACCAAAATTAAAGTTGAAAGCTATCATGGCTGAAATGTAAAATATATTGAATATAATTAATGGCAGTTTAGACACTGCAAAAGATCACTGAACTTGAATGTGTAACAATGTCCTTACATCATAATCAAATTACTTAGAACCAGTGATACAAAGGAAATGTGGGGCTTTTTTTCCTCTATTGCTCCATTTCTTTTTTCTTTTTCTGTTGTCAAGGATCTCTTTTTTTTTTATTTTCTATTACTTTATTTAGAAAATTCAAATACATCATTTTCAAGAACAAATTCTTTCAATCTCCCTCACCCCTCCTACCCATCAAATTGTACAACCTCCATCCCCCTGTACATCCTCATCCCTCTGCTTCCACCTTCTCCCACCCCTCTTGGATCCTTATACTCATTCTACAATAATGGTTTTATACAATATTTGTCCTGTGGAACTGAAATAGTTCGCTCAGCATAATGCTCTCCAGTCCATCCCAAGTCAGTTAATAATTTACAAAATCATTGCTCCTGCATGCTACATAGTATTCCATTTTGTGAATGTACCATAATTTCTCTATCCATTCATGTGTGGTCTGACATTTGGACTGTTTCCATGCGTAAAAGCAGGTGAATAATTCTTCTATGAACACTGGTGCACAAATACCCATTTATGCCTCAGTTTTCATTTTCTCAGGGTAAATATTCGATGCAGTGGAATAGATGGGTCATATGGAATTTCTATGTTCAGCTTTTTGGGGAAGTGCCAAACTGCCTTCACAGCCAGGGGGCAGGGAAGAGAGCAGTAACATCTTCAGAAGAACAAAAATACAAATGACAGTAGATTTCTAGGAACTCCTCAAAATGAATATGAGAGTGGGGAAGGAGCCTGGGTGGCGGTGATTGGGGGGGGGGCGGAAAACACCAAAAAACTCAGCACTTTAGCAGCTGTAGGATAACTTTATTGTTTTTGTTAGGTGCTGTCAAGGTGGCTCCAACTCATAGCAACCCTATGTACAATAGACCTAGACCTTAAAAGACCTAATAAATGTAACTGTTGTGTGCTGTCGGGTTACAATTAACCCATAGTTGATTTCCAGAGGGTTTTCAAAAGTGGTAAATCACATGTGAGGAGACTGCCCATCCTTCTCCCATGGAGCAGCTGGTGGATTTTAACCAAGTGCCTTTGGAATTGCAGCACAGTTTCTTAACACTAGGCCACCAGTACTTCCCAATAAATTTAATTGTTGTTATTGTTAAGTGCCATCAAGTACGATTTATAACAACCTGGTGAACCCTGAACCTGAAGCCTGCCTTATCCTGTGCCATCCCAAGAGTCCTGAATGGCACAGAGTCCTGAATTGCTCAATTACTAGATGAACGGGGCGAGTTGTTCAAAGCCACCCAGAGACACCTTGTTCCTAAAGGTTAGAGCCTTGGACACCCTAGGTTTGCTTTGCACATATGGTATCAACTCTGAGCAGGAAATCAACTTGATGGCAGCCAGCAGCAGAGTGCCCAATGGAAAGAAGTGTAAGAAAAAAAAGTAATTATGTCTAGACAGATCCAAAGAAAAATAAGAAAAACAAAATATTCAAATTTTTTAAATTGTTTTTTAAAAATTCTTACATCATAATCAAATTATTTAAAATCACTGATGTCAAGGAAGTTTTAAAAACAGCCAGAGGGTACCAAAGGCACATGGTTCAAGGTCACCAGCCATCCACGGGAGAAAGATGGGCAATCTTCTCCCATGTGATTAATTGCCTCTGAAAACCCACCAGATGGTCAGCTATGGGTTGATTCCAACTCTACGGTTGTTGTTGTTGTTATGTGCCGTCAAGTCGCTTGCAACTAATAGCGACCCTATGTATAACATCTCTATACTCTGCTCTTTCCTGTGCCAATCTCATTGTGTCCGACACACTCATCCCGATTGCCCCAGTCACAGAATCAATCCACCTCACAGAGGGCCTTCCACTCCTGCGCCTGCCCTCCACCCTCCCAAGCATGATGTCCTTCTCCAAGGACCGGTCTTTCCTTACAACATGACCAAAGTATGTCAGACAAAGTCTCAGAATCCTTGCCTCCAAGGAGCAACCTGGTTTAACCCTCTTCAAGATGAATCTGTTTGTTTTCTTAGCAGCCCATGGTACCCTCAGCACTCTTCTAAAGCACCAAAGCTCAAAAGCATCAATTCTCTTTCTATCCACCTTGGTCATTGTCCAGCTCTCTGACGCATAACAAGTGATTGCAAAGACCATGGCCTGTACCAGACGCACCTTAGTCTCCAGAGACACACTGTTGCTTTTCAGTACTTTAGAGAGGTCCCTAACAGCAGACTTCCCATCGCAATACATCTTTTAATTTCCTGGCTACTGGTGCCAAGAGTATTGATTGTGGAGCCAAGCAGACTAAAGCTGTGAATAATCTCAATCTCTTCACCATCCATCCTGCTGATGTTGCCAATTGGTCCAGTGGTGAAAATCTTTGACTTCTTGAAATTGAGCCTCAATCCATATCAAAGGCTGCAGTCTCTGACCCTCAGCAGCAAGCATTTCAGGTCCTCCTCAGTTTCAGCAAGCAGGGTTGTGTCATCTGCATAATGCAGATTGCTGATAGATCTTCCACCAATCCTGATGCTGCATTTCTCCTCACAAAGCCCACCCTCCCGGATGATCTGTTCTGCCTACAGGTTGAATAGGTATGGAGACAGGACACATCCCTATGGTACACAACAAAAACATATATAAAATCAGCCAGAGGGGGTTAGAAAGACATATTATCTTTAGAAAAACAAAAACAAAGACGACAGATTTCTTTCTGGAAATAACAAGCTCTAGGAGTCATTGGGCAATATCTTTACAATAATGAAAAAAAATATAGTCAGTATACATTGTCAGAGCAAACATCTTTCAAAAATAAAGGCAATAAAAAGAACTTTCAAATACACAAAACCATTTGAAACATTTCCCAAAGATTGAGTTTAGGAGTTTGATTTTCAGACCCAGTACAATAGTTAATGATCCAGGAAGCATTGTTATTATTGTTGTTAGGTGCTGTCAAGTCATAGACGACTCATAGCGACCCTATGAACGAATGGCCTGAACACTGTTCGTACATAGAGTTTCCC